CAGGATGCAGCCTCAGTCCACCTATTCCAGCTCTTCCTCCTCCCTTTCTCATCTCAAAGTTGAGCATCAGCTGTCTGCTACTTTGAGGTGACCTGAGAGAGAATGCAGGTTGTTGGCTTGTGGGATATCTGGAATGTTTTGGAAAGTAGGCCAGTAGGCTGAAGTCTCCTAGATTTATATGGGGGAATATCCCTCCTTTTGGTTATGTGGGAACCCAGCCAGGATTTTGAGAAGTGGACACCCTAATCTAACAAGATACTCTGTAGATACTGCAGATCATAGGAATAGATACCCTGTAGATACCTTTATTGTACCCATATTGGGATTCACTTTTAAAGTTTTAAAAGTTTTAAAATATAATTGCAATTACATAATCCTAATTGGAGATAAAAGTATGAACTCAGAGCTGTTCTGCGAAGGCAGAAGACAAACAAAAACATGCCTCATGCACGGAAATAAATCCTACTACCCTAGTAATGAATCTTTTTGCTCTCAGTCAGTTGGGCATTTCCCAAAAGCAACTGCAGCCATCAGCTTCTATTCAATTAAAATCAGGGGAGAATTTATCCTTTTCCCCATTTTGATGCATTTTTAAAAAGGAGGTGAAGATCTTGGAGTCTATAAGCACATTTCCACAAATGAACTCTGCCAACCACAAAGGAACTCCTGTGATCACATAATAACCATCTGTCTTCATGAACAGAATGAGATGATTTTTGGTTCTATGTGGGGGGAGGGGTTTGATTTTTAATATTTGTCTCTTATATGCTGTTTTTTATGCTTTTGATGTTTTATTTGTACACTGCTCAGAATCCCTTTCTGAGGGTGGTTCTTAAACATGATAAATAAATAAATTTGGAGCAGGACAGGATGTTTGCTCATCATTGTCAGCACTTCAAGCTTGACGTATCAGACAGCGATAATGGATCAACTTGACTGCTTCAGATAGAGAATGGAAGTGCCCTAAAGGTAGAATTACAACTCCCGGTTCCCTGTCAGTCCTGGTTGGGTAGTGTTGGTTCAGCAAAACCTGAAATGCTAAGAGGCTGTACATCCCTGTGTTCCAGAAAGTGGAGATAGAATAAGGAAAAGATAGAATAAGGAAACGCCTAGGTGCTAGTTGGAATGTAGAATGTCATGGATGACAGCAAGAGGAACCCTGTTAGAGAGGAACCAGCATATTTTTCTGGGATTTGTAATCAATACGGAAGTGACTTTCGGAGAAAGTCACTACTACATCATCTCTGCCAAAGAAGTACATGTTATGTTGTTTCGTAAAACCTCAGAGAAGTAGCAACAAATACTGTAAGTCAGACCAATGTCCCAATATAAGAATAAGTTCATATATATAAACTTGTTTAGATAGGGGAAAAAACTATTGATATCCTATGAGTGTCTTGGATTTGGGAAAACATTTGGATGTTTTATACATTTGGAACGAGAAGATAACTTACTTGAAAAGAAGTCATATTGCATTTGTTGAGGTCAAGGTATGACTAAATTTTCTAAAAATTAAATTGGAAATTCCTCTTTCAGCAAAGCATCAAAAAAGTTTTTTAAAAAAGCAAGACATTTCAATGAGACATCATCATCATGCAATTCCACAAGCCTGTACTTCAATACATAGGATTAAATTTAACCTAAATTTAAATTTCCAGTTCAGGTATAATATCTGTAAAACTCTAAGAAAGCCTTAAAGATCTGCATAAGAATTTTTAAAATCTCTAATAACTGAAAATGAAAACACCAAATATGAATCATCACTATTAAATTAAGGATATAGAGCAAGATGATGGGCAGATTCCAAGAAATAATTCAGTTCTACTTACCTACATTCTAAAAAGTAGGTCTAATAAATTTGTAATTACTTGTCTCTTTAATTTCTTATATAACAGTTAAATATTTATCTCAGCTTGTTTTCAATTCTGAAGAAAATAAAGGCATCAGATAAAAAGAAAAGAAGCTAAAACAAACGTTAAAACCTGAATTACCTTTCCAATCTATTTTTAGTTAAAAATAACTAAATCTTACAAAATATTGTATGTTGAATTATACATGTCTATTGTTTTAAGTCTATTCTATGATTCCAATCAAAAAGTATAGACAATTTCTTGTGCAAAAAGTGGCTAATTAACTCTGAGAGTATGCCTTCATGCCCAAAACTTTGTATTTAAAGGTAAATCTGACACCAGTTTAATTCAACTTAAAAACCATTTTTGCCTTAAAATACTAAATAAGAGCTTGTACCATCTAAAATTTAGATTTCTTTTAATATAAAGTTTTAATTGCTAGGCCAGAATTACTGTAAGTTTTATTTATTTTTTATTTAGCATATGGCATATGATTTACACTGTACTATTGTTTGATACTTCTATTATTACCTCCACTTCAACAATAATTCGTCATGACAAAGTTGTCATATTCTGGTTAAGTTAATTGAAGAAATAGTAAAACATAGTCTAATTCTATGATGCACGTAAATTTTCTCCCTCCATTTTGTGCTTGAGTTTACTATTTTTTGCTAGATTGAATCTGGGTCAATCACTGGGACCAGAGGTGTACTTTTCCCGGGTTCCCTGAAGAGCCTATCTTCAGGGAACTTCTCTCTACTGCAGAGGTCCCCAAACTTGGCAACTTTAAGACTTATGGTCTATGAACCCCTGTGGGGGGGGGGGTTGATATTGGCATGGTGGGTCCACAAAGGCTTGAAGAAATGTTATGATTTAGAGTTAAGTCTTGGGGGTCCACAGCCATGGTCCTTGCCCACAGAAGTTATTTAAAAGGGGTCCATGGTGAAGAAAAGGTTGAGAACCACTGGGCTAGGTATTGGTACTTTGAACAGATTCCTTTCATTCAATATTGCTAGCTAATGAGGGGAAAAAATACAGGTAGTTCTTGACTTAACAACAGTTTAATAACCGAAGTTACGTTGAAAAAATTTATTTATGACCGTTTTTCACACAACGATTGTAGCATCCCCATGATCATGTGTTCAAAATTCAGGCACTTGACAACTGACTCATATTTATGATGGTTGCAGTGTCCTGGGATCATCTGATCACCTTTTGTATCTTTCTGACAAGCAAAGTCAGTGGGGAAGCCAGATCCACTTAACAACTGGATTACTAATTTAACACCTGTGGTGATTCACTTAAGAACTGTGGCAAGATTGCAAAACAGGGCAAAACTCAACAAGTGTTTCGCTTAGCAACAGAAATGTTGGGCTCAAATGTGGTCATAAGTTGAGGACTACCTGTATCTTTACTGCTGGTAGTTTGAAATTACAGGCAAAAGCTGGAGCAGTAACGAAAGGCTGGGGAATATATTGTCATTGAAATGTTACGAACAAATTAACTATATTTTTTTCCTTTGAGGTGTGCTTATTATAATAAAACACAATAAAATAAGCAATAAATCCCAATATTGTTAACCATATGACTAATAATAATAAGTATGTTGTATTTTTTTTTCTCTTTAGGTTTCTATCACAGTCCATGTAAATAGATATCAATTCAGCTGGATTGCAGTGTCAATTTAAAATCCCCTTCCTTTTTTCATTCAGTTGCTGGCCTTTGCGGAAAACAACCTCTAGTGTGTAAAGTCAACATCAGAGAAACTAAAGATGTAGGACAGGCAATATCCAGCAACCAGTTTTGCCTGTCCAGATGTGAAATACTTTGAAGGGTGTGCTCCTTCTTAAAATGTGTCAGTGAAACTGCAAATGTAAGACTATGGTAATAGATCAACAATAAAAGGACAGATTAAGCAGGCTCTGTGTGTCACAACATATTTGGACATCCGCAGTTCTACATGATTAGGTAACCCAGTTGATTTATCAGGCAATTATTAGAAGCAGGATTACTTGGATGAAAAGGCCTAAGCATGCAGAGGAAATCCCTTTACAATTCACAGAGAGAATGCCATGTTAACATTCCCACCTGCATATATATATATCTTTCCTCACAAAAGCATTTGGAATGATCAGCCCTTCATCTATTGTAGGAATTATGCTCCTTTTATTATTTACCTTGGAATTTAGCCATGTGAAACTGACATAATTAGATTTTAGCCCATAAAATGCAGGACTGCAAAGAGATGAGAAGAAAAGTAAATTTCAGCACTTGGACTCTGTTAGTTGATGACAAGAAAAATACAGCAGTCACTTCATTTATTCACATATTTAATTATTTATGCTCTGCCTTATTTCCTGGTTTAGCTGTTTTTGATGTAGCCCATGACATTGTCTGAGCTTTACTTATTTTTTAATACATCTTAAAAAAGAAACTTAATTTCCTGCTCATGTTGTATATAAACAAATTTCTGATGATTCCTAGTGACTTTAAAGAAATCTGATGAGATTTCTTCTAGTATTTTCTGGCAATTATATTATTTTGAAAATACATATTGGTCAATATCTTATCTGCTTTGGAAATTTCTTAGATCCATATCAGTTTGAGCAATCTAGTTCTCTTGATCTTCCCTTTTCCCATTTTTGAAGATTTTGTTTGGCATTTTATTCATTGTCCAGGATCAAAATGTATAAAGTTCAACCAGATATTCAGCAAGTTCCTTCAATATTCTGTAATTCAGCTGGATCTGGACTCTCCACTAATTAAAAATATAAGCCATATAATGGTAGCCAACATTGAATTTTGCATAAATTAAAGTTATTCTAAAAACAGAATAGTAGGAAATCATTAAGTTTCTAATGCATACATCAAGGAATTTAAACAACTATCTTAAACATCAAGAAATCTAGCTATGGTAATAATTTCTATCAACATCTCTACATAATAAATCAGAATTTCCAAGTGACACATATGAGTAGTTATCATTTATTGCAAATCTTAAGAATAGCACAAAACCTAAACCAAATATGTCAAAAAAGAATATGAAAATATTATTTATTAAAATAATGTAATATTTGATTTTAGTGATTTGTTTTGCAAAATAAAAAGATCCAAATAAATTGCACATAAATTAACTTTTTAAAAAATATAGATGTTATACATAATGTTTAATTACAGCAGGACAGTGATTCCAGTTAAATAAAATTAAAACCTTTATCTTTTGCAGGTATAAAATTATTCATGTCTTTAAGCAACACAGCAAAAGCCTTAAATTACATCACCATTTCCACAGTAGTCATCACCACTTTTATATTCCATCACTTTGGCAAAATTAGGTATTTTTTTTTTAACAGTGCATAATGTTACAGAAAGTGTATACAACTTCATATTGCACTTTATATATACAAATAAAATGTAAAAGAAAATAGAGCATTTACTTGGAATGAACATGAATCCATCACAACTGTAAAAGGATGAAAGTGAGTATGAATATTAAAAATATTTAAAATGCAATACATTTATATAGACCTTATAAGCTGTATTAACAAACTTTTACATTTATTGTTTAAGATAATATATAGTCACCATTGATTGGAAGTAAATACTTTATTCCTTTTAAGCTTATAAGCTCTCCAAAATGCCAGTAAGTTATAAAATAGAGCACAACTGTTAGTCAACAATATAAAAACCTACTTCTACGTACATTAACACCTCTATTTAGTGCTTATTTAGTTCATAGTGGTTAATACTTTTATCAGTTGATATGTGCATAACTTCAGCAACACTCTCATAAGTGTGTGTCTACACACATGTTCCAAATCTGCCTACACTGTGCCATTCACTTCATGAAGTCCTTATGTGATCAGTTTTCCTAAATACTTCTCGGAACATATAATATTGCAAGCATAATATAAAAATATGTGCACTTTTGATGTCTTATTTCTTTATACCTGATTGATACAATAACTAGAATCTGCATAGTTCTTTCACAATTTTTTATTTCATCCTGAGTTAGCAAGCCATCCCCAAACCCTCTTGTTCCAAAGTCAAGGTACTTTCACGTATAAGACAGTTATGCAATTGAAGAAGAGCTGGGCATCCCATGAACTGTTGTGCTTGTTGCTGTCCCACTAATGGCATTGAAAATGTGTAGTGAGTTGGACATTGCATTGGCCTTTTCTTCCACAGCAGTAATCTTAAAAAAGAAAAAAGGGTGTCTTACACACAGGCTGAGAACATTGTAAAGAATAATAATCTTTGTAAAGATTAGGGTATCAGCCAATTTTGAATATCCCTTGCATGAATGTAATTTTTAAGATGAGAACAGCATATTATACCTCTATGTACTTTAGAAAGAGACAAAATGATTTACCTGATGACACCACCCCAATTATTTAAAGGGATTATACTTCCCATGTATATTATTGCAATGAGGTTTGGCTGACTTCTCTAGTGGAAAAACAGTTATGGATCAAAATAAGTCTTTCATTCCCAGTCACAGAAATGAAAGACAACAATGGATTATGTAGCATGACGGTACATTAAATAAAGCCCATTTCTATATTGAACATATTGGCTATTTCCCCCCAAAGAAAATAACTTCTTTTAATCTTATATGACTGATAATTTTTCAATTATACAATATCAAAACATGAAAAATGGATTTACTGGTTCAGGACAATTTGTAAAGAAATTAGTCAAATAAGGGTGGAGGTAGATATTTTATTTCTGATCTCTAAGCCAACTAAAATATTTTTGAGTAATTGAAGAATATGCAATGTCATACAGGTTTTGGAAGCTGGCGTACAAGTATCAATTATAGTTAATATTAACTATTAAGATCTGCACAAGTATGGCAAAATGAAAGTTAGTGGGGGGGAGAGGTCAGCACACAAAATTAAGTTTTTCAGAACTTATTTTGTTACTAATCAAGTATGTTGCAGATAGCTCCGACTGCAATTCTTACCATTCCTAGTCAAAATCACCAGTAATTATGCTGGCTACGGAATGGGACAGCTTGCAACGGCCAGCTTGCCACTAGCAGCTCTCCACTGCAAAGCTGCCTCTGCCAACCCACCCACCAAGTCATCACAGGACAACTCAGAGGTGGGCTGCACATACCTTAACAACTGGTTTGCTGCAAATGTGAGAGCATGCGTGTACGCCCCCTTTGTGTGCAACATCTGCGCTTGCGCATGGCTGCAAAACCAAGGGAATTTCCTGTACACGGCAGCCAAGGTGCAGAAAGCAGCTGGGCTGCAAGCGCACGAGCAAAAAGCTGAGATATATCGGACAGGATAGCTCCTGGGCGGTTGGTTGGGCCCAACCAGTGGTCGTATGGGCAAGCTGGTCTGAACCGGCAGCAGCCCACCACTGGGACAACTCCATATGGCCAACTCGCCGCAGGGACAATTTGCTGCATCTAGCCAAAAGAAGAGCTGGTTGAGTGAGTGGGTGGGCAGAGTGCAGAGCAGCAGTGGCTTTCCATTTTCACCTCCCTGGCCACCATCGCCACAGCTATGGAGCTTTGTTCCGGATAGGCCAGCGGGTGATGGGGAAGTGGCGGCAGCCAGATGTGTCCCATTTTCACACCACCTACTGCCACTGCCTCACGTCTCCAGTCCTGAGTTCGAGGTGATGGTGGCAGGGGGTGTGAAAATGGGAAGCCCTCACCTACCCGCTTGCTCTCCCAGCTCTCCTTCTGGTCACCCATGAAGAGTTGCCTCACTGAGTTGCAGGGACTTGGCGGCAGTGAATTGGCAGAAGTGACTTGGTGGCAGTGAGCTGGCCATGCCAAGCTGTCCTAAATCCTGCTGGCTAGGGATTTCAAGAGTTGCAGAGCACAGTATCTTGAAGTTATTAGCTTGGGGAAGACTGCCTACACTACCTGTATGGTAAACTAGGGCTAGAGAATGAGAAACTACTTCACTTATTAGAAACAAATCTAATATGCAATATAAACAAAGGTAATGCAATTTGTCTTGTGCTAATAAGTTAAAGTCAAATAAAATATAACTAAAAGACAAAGAGAAAACTAGAAAGAAACTAAAAGATATTACCATCCCAGCTGATCACATTTTCAAAGCAGCATAGGGAAAAAGAAAAGGAAGAAAGAGAGATGCCCATTAAGGTTTCTATGGAATATAGAATATATAACACTTTTTCTCAAAGAAAATTTGTTTAATTTCTTTAATATGTATTTAGGAAAGCAAAATAGGTATTTAAACTTTGCAAAAAAAAAAAGTACACCCTTTATGAAAATAAGATAAAAATGCAAGATATTTCAATAAGAGATCAATAAATGTTGGTTCCCAACTTTTTTAAAAATACAAGATTATTTCATAATTGGAAGCCTCTAAGGAGCACCATATAGAGAGAGTTGAATGGCTTAAGTCTTTCAGATTGCAAATCTCAGGAGAAATTTGTTGCTCTACTCCTTCCTGAAATCTTGAGAGATTTTCATAAACTACTGGCACTCAGGCTGGCCACCACCCACAGAGTCTGTATCATTCACTGGAATCAGTTATATTAAGAGTAGCTCCAATTATAGCAGGGTTTAAATTGGTTTTGGAAAGGCACACAGGGGTTGCATACCAGTAATGGCAGGTCCACCCTCCTTGCAGCGTATTATACTCAGATGTGATTGTCTGAATCCCATTCACACATTCATAAACAAATATATGCAGATTTTTCAGACATAAATCTCTCGCTTCTTATACTGTTTCCACACATAATAATTAGACTTATAATTAACTGTTGCTTTACAGTACAAGACAAATACTTGATATTGGTTAATATAGTATAGTTCCAGTGCAGGGGGAATTAATACGGAGGAGTATGCAGCATTTAGAAGAATAACACGTTTTCACCAACTCTCTTTGAAAATGGTACTCCACAATACAAAGTAGAGGTTTTTTTTAAAAAAGTGGTATAATCAGATTGCAAAATAATAACAAGAATTGCTCTCAAGTCCAAATATCTCTTAATCAGAAAAAAAAATAAAATTCTCTGTATTGATTTGGGGAAGAAATTGGTGGGCTGAACATGATTGGTTGGCAATTTGATCCATGTCACAGAGGTACTCCATGCTTATTGTAGGAAAATGATGTTTTTAAAATTATGTTGTGTTTAATTTAAACATATCAAGAAATAGCAAAAATATACAATGTGCTATTGTTGAACATGTGCTTCCATGTTGTACAAAGATAGTATTGACAGAAAATATTAATTTTACTAAGCAACTGATAAACAGAAATGTGATATTGGCAATCTACTGCAGTAGTTATGCTGCAAATGTTACCATAGCTCATCTTAGACCCTACTGTTTATTTCATAGCAGGACAGATTTAGGGAAAATAAGAGAAAAAGAAAATTGCCAAACTTATTTTTATGTCAGCTTTAAGGGAAAAAGTAAAATAAGGCACAACCTCTCTTGTTCAAATGTCTTCTTTATATATATATATATATATAATTTATATTTTTGTCTGCACTAGATACACATATACAGCCAAGCAAACAAAAATCAAGATAGGCAAACTCTGGGTGAGATAACTGACATGGAGATAATGCTTCTTAACCATAGGATAATCTAGAGTATCTTGAATGAAGCTCAGTACATACTTGCTCATGCATAATTTCAGAAAGTTCTTTTGCCATCTCTCTATAGTTAGCTTTCATTTCTTCTTGATATTCTATCTGGTCTTCTTTTATAAGCCGTTCGTTTACTTCTAGAGCCTGCCCACAAGTTTCAATAAACTGTCTGAAATAAAAATGGAAGTAAAATAAAATAAAGTTAAAAGCATTCAAGTATCTTATGTCCAAGGAAAAAATATATTTTCAGATTGCTTACCTGAAAATTTCCTTCAGTGATTTGACTTTATTGTCTGGATATCTTTTGGTGCTTGTATCATCCAAGAAAGCTCTGGCATAGGCTAATGGACCAGCGTTGACCTAAAAGAAAAATTGCTGTTCATTAATATAGGTTTTTCCCCCTCCTGCTATGGAGTGAATCCATAGCAGGGACTCTGCTCAGTGTCTCATGCAGCTCTTGTGTGATCTGCAACAGGATGAAATACGCCATCTGAATAGGGCTACTTACAAAAAGGATGCCTCATTGTAAGACACAGTATGACTCAATGCAGACCATGTCAAATCCATTCCTCTTTTTTAGATTAGATTTAGATTATTTAGGTTATTATTTTAATATAACGAATAGCAGATGTTGAATAATAAAGGAGGGGAAATGGTTTAATGGTTAAAAAAAAAAAAAGAAATATACCAAATGAAAAATGTACTGCACTTACCTGGACACTAACACTACCCTGCAGCTTTAATTGAAGTTTGATCATATCAACTTCAGTGGATGAACAAAGTTGCCGGAGTTCTGCATTTTTTTTATTCATTTCATCAATGGCTACCTCAATTGGATTTAAATCTTTGTACTGTTGATACATTATGGGAATCCGCTTTTTTACATATGGAAAACAATTTATAACTAGAGAAAGAAAACAATATGATTAAGTATGTGGTTAATTTCAATCACAAAGTTTTGAAAAAAAAAAAAAAACCTTTTTTAAAAACTGATAATGCAATTCTTTTTATATTGGGACGAAGTAGATTTTGTCTAAAAATGCATATTCTAAAAAATCACAAGTTTGGAAATTAGTGTTCCTTTGTGTCCCGTCTGCAGACAATCCTTAATATAGCTATCCCTGAATAGCAAATAAGTATCAACAAATGATGTAATGCTTTTTAAAAAATGCACTCTTTATTTAGCATTTTTCCCATGAAAGGTGCGGCTGCAAGATTTCAGATCCCAGTTGCAAAATGAAGAAACTCCAGGTAGAAGCATTTAAAAAGTTATGGTAATGTCAAAATGTTCCTATAAACATCATGATGCCCTCATACAGAAGCCCATGTAAATGGCCTTGGACATGTAATCCCCTGTAATGTTTCAGCTGTTTACTGGGTACCAGATTATTTCTTGGTGTAATTATATCCTTTAAGGTCACAATAACTGTGACCAAAGTAATGAATAAAAGTCTCCTCCTGTGTTAGTCGGCACATGGTAAGATGAATCCAGGGGTAGGAAAAAAATCCCAGCAACCGGTTTGCTGCCCAGTTGCTGGGTAGGCATGGCCATGGTGAGCGTGGCCTACTGGTACTTCCGGTAAGGCTGTTTTTCGCCTTCCCAAGGGTCTGGAGGCTTCCCTCGGGCCTCTGGGAGGGAGAAAACTGCCTCTCCTGGGCTCTGGAGGCCTTCCGAAAGCTGGAAACAGACCAGTTTTGCGACTTCTGGTACTTCTAAGTAAGGGCGTTTTTCGCCTTCCCAAGGATCTACAGGCTTCCCTTGGGCCTCTGGGAGGGCAAAATGGCCTCCCCTGGGCTCTGGAGGCCCTCTGGACACCAGAAACAGGCCTGTTTCCGGACTTCCGGAAGACCCATTTTTCCCCCTCCCAGAGCCTCTGGGCAAGCCCTGCACTTACCTGCGTCGAAAATGGGCCACATGGAGACTCCTGAGAGGGAGAGGTGGGGCAGGGCCAGCTGGTTGGTTCAAATACTGGTTCAAATTTAACATCCGGTTCGCCTGAACCGGTGCGAACTGGTAGAACCCTGGATGAATCTATTGTAGAGCACTCTTGAGTTAAAAGGACTAGCATGGGAAGATTATAATTCTACTTTTTTCTAGGTTAGATTGCTTTGGTTTTTGTCTTGTATCAACACAAATGCTTTAAAAAAACCTCTTTGATTCTACTGCTGCTAAAATGTATTTTTTCTTTATTGCCTTCTCATTTGTTCTTGTACTTCACGGTACTTTTTCCTGATTAATTTTTCTTGATTTTACTAATTTTCATTTCACCGATTTTTCATTTTTATTGTCTGTAATTGTATATTTTTACATTACTTGATTTATATAAATCAGCTGGTTCAAGTATGGTAAAAATTGAGAACAATTAACAGATTATCATTAAGAAACAAGGATGTTTTGGTTTCTTAGTGAGAAAAAAACATCCCTGACAGCTATCCAATCTTACTTAAGAAATCAATAATCATGGCGCAAGGGTAGTCATGAGTCAGCATATCATCTGGCCTTGACATATTAATAACTAAATTTATGGCAACTGAAAGGCCATAAAAACTAAGTTCTGTCAGAAAATCAGCTCTTTGTAGGGCTACATTTGTTTAAAAGGACAGGATATGAATAAAAAACAAGACTCAAGCATGCACATAATGTGAACGTCTCACATACTACCATAAATCAAAATATGTTTAAAAATGTGAAAAGATACAAAACAGTCTTTTCCATTAGAATTGTTGTAAATGATACTTTAATGCCAGATTTAAAGACTACCTTAAGAGATGTAGACAACTTAGAACTACTTTCATATTTGCAAGAATGTGACTAATTCCGTCAGGACTCCTAGCTAAACAGGTCAAGGTCAGCATAGAAAAATGTTTACAGCATACCCTGTATTAGTTTTCAACACTCATATGTTCATAAAAGTACCTAAATATAATTGATTATGACTGATTCAATCCTACTTATCCTTGGTAGGAATAAAAACCCTATACCAATTTCCTGCCAAATGGAATTGTGAGAGTTGGTAAGACATAAACACAAACCTTTAATAAAACACAGATTGCTCTAAATTTGAGGGGAACAAAATAAGTTTGGTGGGTGAGTGGCAGGAGAAACAAGAGCTGCATTTTCTCTGCACTACCTGTAAGAATGATGCGTCGCTTGCATTGCTCTTCCACCACACCTCGTCTTTTACCCAGCTGAGTAAAAGGCATTTCGAACATAAATCGGCGGATGTTGTGATTCCTTTCAAATTCCGTTTTTCTTTCCTGCAATTCCTTTTCTTCAAAATATGGAACTACGTGTGTGACTTGAATATAGGCATATTTTGAATCCAAATCCTTAGGATTTACCTTCAAAAAATTGTAGATAATACAATGCTCAGTTATGAATATATAGTTATTTATTAATGTAAGGCTGATAGAATATTTTCATGAGAACTAAAAACACCATTTTGTTGAAAAATTGACATAAAAACCTTGATGTATTCAGTAGTATTACTAAGCCCAGACTAGCTTTATTACAATTATTAAAACAAATGAAGATCTGTAAAGCCTTATTTTATTCTATTTAAACAATGGCAACAGATGATTTGATTTATTTATTAGGTTTACTGTATTTAGATTTTGTTACAGCTTCTTCAATTCTTATAAAATATTATGTGGTCCTACTTTGTCAGAATCCTGGATCATCCTGACATTTTCAGATCCAAATTTATCTGAGTAGAGCTTTTGTAGCCTCTGGGAAATTTCTGAAAGAGATGTGAGCTTAGGTTCTTTGTAAATATATTCTTTTCCATCCTCATCTTCAAAGAATCCCTTTAGAAAAAATAACACATAATAGTTAAGTTCTGATTATATCAATATTCAATGTGTAATGCAATGTCAGTCTTTAATGTCAAGGATGAAGGAGAAAAAATATTGAAGAATAAAGCAGTGGGGTTGCATTAAAATGAATACACACAGCTATATAATGAATGCCGTAATTATATGTGATGTTAATGTTTTCAGGAACATACATTTTTCCAATATATTGTTTGTATGCCTGTTTCACATGCCAAAGCACTAGTCCATGTTTAAAAGTTTGTGTATTTTGAAGTTTAACAAAACACTCTATAATAGTTCATCGTGTCATGCAGTACAACCCAATTGTGTGATTTTAAATCAAGGGTTAATTTAGCTGAATTATATCTTATTTTAAGGAAATGCTATAAATCATCATTGCTCACATATTCACTGATTTATTTATTTGAATAGGTTCCATGGTAGGTGAAACAGGTGTTTTCATCTAGAAAGCAGATCTATTGTTTTATAAATCACAGAAATAAATATCTGTATCTGAAAATGAAATGGTGCAGGGAATACAATATAGTATGTTTAAAATGCAGACTAAATTGACAACAATATCCACACCAGATTAAGCTTGTATGCAGTGATGATTACTGCACTGCTCGCTTTAAAAAGCAATATTTGTAATTACCTCCACATCTGTTTCACTGTCTGTAAACTGGTATTGCTATAGTCATAAGAGACAATAGAATAAATGGAGTGTTATATGTTTCAGTCCTGTCATAATTTAATTTCTATCACCAACACATATTTTTCTCCAATAAGTGCACATACACATATACTCTTATATACACAATTTACTTTATTTGGTTGCAAAGGAAATATATATATGTTAAAATAGTGAGTATGCCCAAGTACAGAGGTATCTTTTCCAAGTGAAATTATATATTTTCACAAAAATTGAAACAAAGATCAGAAAAAAAAACTTCTCCATATCAAAACACTAAGTAATGTGCTTAATAATTTCATATTGATATTAGTAGAAAACTTACCGCTGCCTTAAGAAAGTAATCATAAAGAAAAAAGAAAAAAGCATAAAGTTTACTGATGAAGAGATTGTCCTTTCCAGAATACATCTGTTAGCTCTATAAACATTAATTGAAAGTACATGCAAATAGAAATAGATACAAACAGGTTTTAAAAGCATGCTGTTAGAATACAGGTAGACCTTGCTTAACAACTGCCCTGTTTAGTGACCATTCAAAGTGACAATTCTTGCTGAAAAAGTACTTTACAACCAATCCTCATATTCATGATCATTGCAGCAGCCCTGCAATGGCATGATGAACATTTGGGCACTTTGCAATCAGCAGGAATTTACGACCCTCAAGAACATATCACAGTCACGATTGCCACTTGTACACTTCACAACCAACTTCCAAGAAGCAGACTCTATGGCAGGGGTCCCCAAACTTGGCAACTTTAAGACTTGTGGACGTTAATTCTGGGAGTTGAAGTTCACAAGTCTTAAAGTTGCCAAGTTTGGAGACCTGCTCTATGGTAAAGTTGGCAGTAAAACTGAAAGTCACTCTCATGTGTTGTTTCACTTAACAACCAGGGCAAGCTGTTTAACGACTGAATGAGAAGGGATGTATGCCCATCACAATCATATGAAGTTTCATTTAATGACTGCGATCGCCTAGTGATGTAGTTGTCAAACCCAATTGTGGTTGCTAAGTGAGGGCTACCTGTATATTGCATTCTTCAGGAGTTTAATTGGCATTGAGCAAAAACTACAACAGATAATGCTCACCTGTCCAAAAAAGGCAACTCTGAAATACGTTCCCAACAATCTCTTTCCTGTGTGCATAACTTCAGTAACTTTGCTATATGCCCGGTGCAATGTGTCGTACAGATGAGCTAATTTCTAAAAATAGATGCGAAATGTTTTTATAAGTAAAGACATTAATACATTTGGGTTATTAGAAACAGAATAAAATGTATTATCTACTTAAGTTTTAAAAATTCAAAACTAGGTTTTCTTAAACTAGAACAAAAAAGGGTTTCATGTTAAAAATAACTTTTTAAATTATTAACAGTGGCATTTGTTGAAATATCTAACGGTCCCAGATTCATTAAGTTAGGCAGGACTATATAACAACTGAAAAAATTAACTGTAAGCATCTCAAGTCTATAAAGATATATAGAAAAAAGGTAGTCTTCCTACTGAGCTTTGACTATATGATAAACTATGTGCTCAACTATGAAGTCAACTCATTGCACTGCAGAATCCCCATGGTCTGTCGTAAGTGTGAATCACCGCTGGAGCACTGCATTTGGCATAACTTTGAAACATGTTGGTATGTAGATTGGAGGGGGGGAGTTTGATCATTGTTTTGAACAGTTGTTAAATGGCCTGTCGTTTCTCAAGGACTACCTGTATGGTCGGCTAGTCCTTGGAACCGGGCATTATTTTTTTACAAGTTGAATGTACTACATCATTAAACAGTATTAAAAAAAGTCTCTGAAGTATTTATAGATTTAAATTAATACCTCAAAATCTCTTCGTTTTTCATAAATGGGAATTATAAGTTTATATATATCAGCAATCAGTTCATAACGTTCAGCCTTCCAAAGACCATCTGCACATTGTTCCAATAATTCCATCAATATTTCCTAGTTACAGAAAGGATGACAAACAAACGGTCATTATTAATAGAAATGAATCTGTACCAATTTTAGGAAGAAAAAAATAAAAATATAGATGCATTTTACACTATCTATTGATACATCTATCTATCTCATATTTAAGCACTAGCAATATACAGCAAATATTCTAATAAAAAATTGCTCAAGAAGTAAACAGGGACGGCAAGTAACATTCAAAATTTTTATTATTTGTAATTTATTATTTTAAATTATTTGATTTATATTTTTAACTCAGTTTGATCTTTGTTTGATTAATATACTGCAGAACACCACATTCAATTCTTTTATTTTAATGTCAAAAGAATTTTCCATTTACCTCCATTTTCTTAGAACAAAATGGCAGAATCAATATATATTAACTGATAATATATCAGTGCATTTTTGTATTGGTTTATCATCAACTTGATATCAGTATTCCTAGAACAGATATATATCTATCTTTAATAGGGTCTAGAGTTCATGTAATTATCATAAGATAAAGTTCAGGACTCAGCAGAGTACATGCAATAATTATCAGCTAAGCTAAGCACTTATTCCCTATGTGACAAAATGTAATAATCTGAAAATAATAAACAGTAGTTTTTACAGAAAGATTAAATCCAGATATTTTTCTAGAATAATTGATAGCAATGTTGTTATTTTCATTTAGGTGGCATGTTTACTTATTCATGCAAACTATTTCTTGATCATATAACAAGCTCTTTTAACATTCTTAAGTACAATATAGCAAACCATGGATGAAGCTCTGTGCAGTATTAACAATGTGGAAATGTGAAATTTTCATATTTTTTACAAGTTGCATTAATATTATCAAATCAGCTAATTAAATTGACATGATAGAAAACTACCAGGTTTTAGCTTGGTTCCTTTGTGATTTCATTCTCTCAACTCCGGAACATCATACATTATTTGTTATATTTGGTAGTGAAGGCTTGTTTCATCGTTTGTAAAAAGGTGAGTTTTAAAGGATTTCACTAACTCTTTCAGAGTCTCATTTTAAATTTTAAAGCACTTTTCTAAAAAAAATGTTTGTTTGTTTGATTGTTTTTAGCAGTAAATGTACAACTTAGGAACTGTAATAAATAAATAAATGAATTAAAAATGTAATGTTATTTGACAGCCCTATTTGGGCAAGTCAATAAAACAGATATTTCAGAAGTCAAGAAAATCAAAACGATAATGACTTGTAAGTATATAAACTAAGTTTGCATACTTCATTAAAGTGAACACCTTGCATCCCCACATCTTCCATCATTGAGGCCTCTTCATCTATATTTGGAGTGATTACTCTGAAACTGCTACAACCTTGTCTAAACATTCCTAAACATATAGGAAAAAACACGAAGAAAAATGCATAAATTAATCTGAAACAATTAGGGAGAGAGAGAGAATGTAAATCCCACAGATGAATAAAAACGGTCTCATAGCTACTGGTATATAGCTCAGTTGTGAGTTTTGTATAATTGTATCAGGATATATTTAGAAAGTGGTATGTATCAAATATTGGGAGTATTAAAACTATTTGTAACATTTTCTTCCAAAAAATGAGTGCAAGTGACTGCTGTTCTTAAAGAAGACTACAAAAGAATTATTTCATGGTAACAAGGACAGCAACAAGGAAATTTTGTCAAAGAACCTATCAGAAATGACCTTCCAAGATATCTGAGTCTCAAGCCAATTCTACAAGGCCACCTACTAGTTAAGTAACACTCCATGGTTTTTCATGACTAAGACTGAACAATAGAAAGTCCTTTTATATGAGATAATTTGGTAGGTGGGTATTATTAAAGTTCACTCCACCCAGAAATACATGTATTATGGTGTTAATATCATAGCCAGAATTGTGTGAATTGTCTCTGGCATATCATGAAGGTGCTTTAAGCATTATGGGTGCATCATGTCAAAAAACAGTTGTGAAAATAATGCCTCAGTTTTAGTTATTTTCCTGTAAATTTTATAGTTAAAAAGATGCACCAAATTTAGGAAAATAAAAAATAGCCTTTTCCTCTCTTGCTCACCTTTATGATCTACACTTCTCCATGTGTTTACCACAACTGCTGTCTAATCTGCATTGAGCCATATTGTCTTATTTTAATATATAGGCTTCCAAGGGCATACACAACCTAGGTTTTTGGATTTGGCAACATGGCAATGTTTCAAAACCACTAATCCTCAGCAGATTCTTTTGGACGCTGTATAGGCCGTGATTTAGACGCAGTTAATATCGCCATATTTCAAAGGGCACCTGAAATAACTTCTGAAATAGAAATGTGCTTTACAAAAAGTAAAGAACTGTTTGTTTGTTTTTCTATGTAGCCATATGTGTTTCAGATTTATTTATCAGACTGTGTGATGAACTATGTGCTCGACTATAAAACCAACTAATTGCCTATGGATTCTGAGAGGCCAAAATAATTTTAAAAATGCAGGTACAGATCGAGATTAACAGAGTTGGAATAATAAACTTAACATTCTGTATTATTTTTAATGTATTTTAAAATATTTTACTGCCCCAAAATAACAATGATGCATACCTTTCCGTAGAAGGTATTCAGCCACCAAAGCTGCTACATGAACATAGCACATTGCTGCCTATATTATGAATAGAAAGAAAGGACACTTATGATAAATTTGGGATTGTACGGTTTAAGTAATGGAAGAGGCAAAAAGCACTAAGCTATTTGTACAGGAACTTATTTCAGAAAAAAAATCACTATTTCCACAGATAAGAGCAGACTGTTCTTCAAAGGCAAATATATAGATAATGCAACTTTCTCCTTAAGCTGAAATGAAGTTTCCCACGTTTTTAACTTTCTTGTTGTTTAAAAAAAAATCTAATTACTACTACTTTTTGTTTAAATTATGAAACAGTACCATGATATCACTTTAAGGTACTTTCTTCTTGTTTACCTCTGAAAAATCTCCATTTTTAACATGAATTTTTGCCATGCTATCCAGCCATGTTTTCCTCAGCTCAGGTGTACTAGCGTAAGACTTTGCCAGACTATACTGAAGATCCACTAGCATTTCTGGATCATTCTCATGTTCCTTCATTTGTGCAGTAGCCATTAGGACTGTACGGATGCGTTTTGTCAGATCTTTTACATCAGAAGGAAAGGTAGTGTGCTATAATTGAAATAACATAATAAATAATGTGAGCACAAACAAGGGCCACAAAAGATGAGTAAACTGCAATGTATACACCCAATATAGATAGAAGTCATCTTCAGGCATTTGCCTGAAAGCACAAAATGAAAAGCATAGGGTGGGTGCAAATGCTAATTCCATTCCATATTCTCTTCAACTTCCATGTGTAAAGTTGTACTCTGAAGAAAACAACTCTTTGCAGTATTAGAAATTCAAACCATGCAGATATTCTGAATACATTTAAGGAACTTAATGTAAACTTCTCTTTGACTTGTTAGCTAATATGTGGATTTCACAGTCTATAGAGACTCCTGCAGTAAATAATCAGAGTGGTATGTTCATTTATTATCATGTTGGGTTGTAAAGTTATAAATTAGTTCACAAACTTTTGTCAGAGTTACAGAGAGTCAGGCAATTTGCAGCACTGAAGATTTCAGCCAACAGCCCACATTCAATATCAGAGTTCAAGGAGTGAGATTGTGAAAGGTAAAGGATGGTTAAAATGGAACCTTGACAAGAACAAATTTATCTTTGAATTTTCTCACTGTTTGGAGGTATTTAAGGGTACAAATGTCATCAATCAACTTTGCCAATATGGTAAATTTCTCTCAATAAGGCTGAATTTTCATACTCAAAATAGTTTTGAAGACCACATGATGTAGTAAAACTGACTGTATTACTGTGGTTCAGACTGACATATAGTACTTGACATAAACAAATCTTACATTTCTAGAAGTCTAATTTGTGTTCCTTCCCCTCAAATACAAAAAGCTTAACTTACGGAACCACATGGATAAAGGGGAATAAACTTCTAATAGTAGTTTGCAAGTTCCAAGAACTTCTGAAACTCCTTCACATTACGCAGTACCACCAGAGTAATGTCAATTGACAAATTCTACATTCCATATTTTACAAACCTTAATATATTTATCATTGTTTGCACAGTTATTAATAATGGAAAGAGACTGCTGAAATCTGGTTCCTCCAATTCCAGCAACATCTGCAATCAGCTGACTCACAGAAATGATAACCTATTAAGAGGCAAAAGCACAATTTTGGTTACTCATCAATATTCAAAATTCAAGAATTTGTAAATTATCTTACAATTTCAGCTTGAAAGCATGCAGTATAATTTAAATTAGCAATAATATTTTTTCCATATAAATACTGCTTTTAAAGCAACGTCACCCAAGCAATATTCATACTGAAAACTAGGGCGTTTGTTTTTTTTCCCTGCCACTTAACATTTATTTTTGCAAATGTCATTGCAAAAATGACTATTATCAAGACAAATCAGATTGTACTTACTGAAATTACATTGTTACAATTTGAAGAAAGAATTTAAAAATGTATAAAATAAATCGACTTTCCAAATGATATACAAGATATTAAAAATATACATCAAGTGATACTAAGTAAGATCCTGGCCTGAATATATCCGATCATAAACTCTCTATGCCAAATATCTAACTTGGGTTTCCTGCAATGAAATATCATAATGCAAGGCCTCCCTTCCTTTCTCCAAAAAACCCTCTGAAATCTTGCAAAAGAAATTGTGTGATCACTAAAATGTCAAATAAGGTAGCCTATGCTGTATCATATAAAATCTATTCTGCAAACTGAATGTCAGTTAGCAAACTAAGTATCAAAATTCAATTTTTTACAAAGAATGATGTATATATAAAACTTAATGCTTGATTAATAAGGATTATCTTTTGATATTTGTTATAGATGACAACAGAACATCATCTGATAGAAAGTGTGTCTGTTTTCATGTATATCCATGCTCATAATCATGCATTATCTCCATTTGTTGTATGTATTTTAACAAAGATAAACTCTCAGTTTAAAATCTTCAGAAATTTAAAGATAGTCTCGTTTTTTTTTCTTTATGAAACAAAGTATACTAACCTGTAAATGTGTCCTTACAAACGATCTCTTTTTAGTATAATCAAAATTATTCTTCATTAAGAAGTAAAGGAGCTGCGAAGCTTCAGTTCGAATTGAACTTAGTTTGGAGTTACAGCACTTCAAAATTTCACAGCATAGTGAAGAACACATATCAGCTCGCCCTTCATAAAAGGTGGAAGGGAACTGTAGAGCAGAAAAATCTATTTATTTATTCTGTTTACTTATTCTGTTAAGACTGATTTAATCAAACTAGAATGAAATAAAATCTTAATCCAAGTAGTATTGTTTATATTTCTAAATGTACTTTCATGTTTTCTAAAGTTGAGCAAAATAAAAATATTGTTGGACATTAAACAGAAGAGAAATTAATTAGCAATAGCAATTAGCATTCAGGCTTATATATCATCCCACAGCACTTCGCAGAAATCTCTGGGTGATTTATAATGTAGAAGCATTATTTGCATACTACCCCCAACAATCTGGATCAAGTTATTCTGCTGTCTAAAAGACAGACCTTGGCATTTGAAACCGTAGTACTGTATTTTTCGATTTAATATGTAGATCTTTGATATGGGGGAAAGCATTTAATTGATTCCTAACAGTTAGAGAAATAAAAAAAAAATGAAACCATACAGCAATTTAATATACACTATCAAGGAAATGAAATTAAAACTACTTACCTTAAAAATTAATGTCCTTAAAGCATTGAAAACATTTTTTAAAGCTGTTTCGGACTGATTTTTTTGTAGAAAGCAAATGTATACATCAAATACTTTTTTCATCAGCGGATTATGGCCATCATCCTTCAGCAACTGATTCTTAAAATTAATAAAATGTGTATTTTGAAAAAAAATAGAATTATTTACATTAAGGCATCTGTATATAGATCTGCTAATTAATTATCTTCACAAAGATCTGCATACAATAATTCAGGAATTCTGAATTACTACCATAAGCAAAATTTACAATATCCTGATGTTAACAATAGACTGATATATTATCAAATAACATTTTCAAAGTTTCCTTTTGACTAGATCCAGAGAAGATAGTCCTTGACTTACAACCAAAACTAGGAGCAGAACTTCTGCTGCTAAACAATGCAGTTGTTAAATGAATCATGCCCAATTTTGCAACCTTTTTGCTGTAGTTTTTAAAGGGGCTTCTCTCATTGACTTTGCTTGTCAGAAGTCCCCTGGGCAGGTTTCAAATGGCAATCCCATGATTTTAGGATACTGAGGCCTTTGCAAAGCACCCAGATGATGATCATCGAACCATAGGAATGCGGCAATGGTTATAAATGCAAGTTTTGCAGGTTGTAAATAACTTGTCATTGCTGTCATTACTTCAAATAGTTGTTAAACAAATTGTTGTAAGTCAAGGACTTACCTGTACATCAGCTTTTGTGTATGCAATATTAGTTTTGATTTGTCTATCTGAATAGCAATTTCACTTACTAGGTGCCAGTGCACATAGCACACTTTTTTTCCTCAAAGACGTTATTAATGGTAATTCTATTAATAAACAGAAGTATTGATTAACAAATTAATTGCTTAAAATTTCAATTAATGGATAGTGTGACTTTTATCAGATTTCTGAGGGGGAGGGAAGTAGAACAGCCTTTAAAATATTACACAGTATAATACAGAAACTCAACCTTTTAGGAATACCAACAAGGAAGCCTAAACACAATTATGAAATGAAGTTCTAGAGCAGGAATATAATATCAGGAATAATAGTACTGTTAGACACTGTTTTTATCAATATTAGTACACAACTGTACATATCTAAAACATACCTTAAATGCCACTGTGAACAAAGATAAAGTATTCAGAATCGTAAGGCCCACTTCAGTGGCAATATTGGCTTCAAGTAAAGATTGGTGAAGAACATCTGCTTCTGAATGGCCATAACCTGTATAAATTTGAAGTAACTTTTATCTAGATCAATTTTATTTCAATTAATCAAGTGGTATTTATGTTACAGAATAGAGCTGGAGATATAGATAGCAACATTAACAAGATAATGCATGTAATATAATGCATATAACATCCATTTACCTTGATTATTTTACAGAGAAATTTAATACTAAAGGGAACAATGTATTTATAGGTCCCTAAACAGTAATGATAACTATTAATAATTGTAGATTATTTGTGCTTTGTTATCTATCAGAAAATGTTCTAAAAATTATGAGAAACACTCAAATAGTCTTACAGTGTTATTTCTAAATCTGTGACTTGTCTTTTCTTTTTTATTTAACTAGAAAATGAAGAGTGGATAAGAGTTGAAGGTTTAATATTTATTTGTTTATATAGAAAAATATTTATGCTGCTTACAGCATAATTTTTAGACAGATAAAAACAGTCACCTTTAGAAGACAGTTTTTTAATTTGATTAAATTTATTAGTGTTATTAAGAAGCCTCTGATGACAAACAATTTTACTTCAAATCTCAAATATATTTAATTCTATTGAGGATGAAATGAAAGAAAGAAGGAAATCCATAGCATTGAAACAAGCAGAACTTCCCTGTCTGGGTTGTTTCAGTGTCTTGAGACTCACTTAGAAATTGGGCTGCAACAGAGTTTTGAGCAGCTTTGACTTGGTTTCATACCTAGACATCTCATGATCAAGAATTACCTTGGCTTTTTTTATATAGTTTAAGTTATTGCCATATATAAAACAAAGCAATTTATGAAATGAGTACACTTTCGATTCATTAGCTTGCAATTCCTATCTTACAAATTCAATAGACCAAATCAATTCATTCTTAGATTTATTTACTCATTACTGCACTTGAACTTAATGGCCACAGAATATTTTTTATTATCCTAATAAAATAAACAAGTAAAATATAGCATAGATTAATCGCATAGTTTATTCAAATAATATACACAATAAAATAAAATAAAATAAAATAAAATAAAATAAAATAAAATAAAATAA